TAATGTCACTGTTAAGCAACTATTAACACAGTGTTCTGACTAATAAACACATAGCAAAGTAATAATCACAGAGCGAACTGAAAACTAAACTGCAGTAGCAGCCATGACACTTCTAACCGAATTTTCTAATATGATATAAAAAAATTATTATCATGACCAGTACTAGCGGATCCAGCGGGGGACGCGCCCCTCTCTCCCTAGGATGGTGGGGTAAACGTTCCGAAAAGCAGCTATTTAAAGAAAAAAGAAATATAGGAAAAAATCATCATCATAGACGAATTTTCTAATTTAATATATAAAAAATGTATTATCATGACCAGCACTAGTTATTGGGGGTTGCCAGGAGGCGCATCCACCTCTGGATGGAAAATAATAATCCTGAAAAAACTATCCTAAACACCCATTTAAAGAAAAGAGAAATATAGGAAAAATCATTCTCCAAGACGAATTTTCTGATGTGATCAATATCATCATCTCGAGCACGACAATCCATTACTTGATCTTGGCTGCCTCCAAGAGTTTTCCTCCATGTTTCTTTTTCTTAGCAGCCTCCACCAGTTCCATTGACCGTAGTTATCGACCATATCAGTTAATCAAATTATTAAGTTTAGGTACTCGTTCGACGCACAATGTGACGTTCTTTAATTTCTTAAAGAATATGTTTTTCGCTTCTATGCACTGTTTAGCAGTAATACATGAAAAAAAGATCAGATAAATCAGGATTATTTGGCTGTAAAAAGTTTTCTCTTGGTGACCCGTGTCAGAATTTAGTTTTTTACATGTCTAAACCCAAATACAGGGTGTCTCGTAAATAGAGATAAATATTTAAAGGAGTGATTGATAGCAGAACTCAATAAATACAAAAAAGTGTGGTTCTATTTTCAGCAGAAAAGTAGGGAATTAAAGTTTTGTGATTTTTCATGTAAACCACGTTTTTTGTTGAATAGGAAGTGATAACAAAAAAAAACTATTTAATTTAAGTAATTAACGATTGCTTCACTGTAAACTGGACAAAATTTACTTTATATAAAAATAGAGTTTGCTTATGTTAAAACCATTTAAAGAGGACTTTTGAGCGGCTAAACTTAGCTAAGGATGGGAGATGGTAGTGGTGGGGGAAAGTGTAGGGATGAGGACATCATAAGTGATAAAAGAAGAACTAGCGGCGCTAGGTTTCAAAGTACGGAAGGTAACCAACGTTCTGAAGGAGAATAAGGAGCAGCCTGGAGTAGAAAATAAAGTTCCACTACCTTTATTTTTCGTGGATCTAGAGCCATCACCCGGTATTGAGAAAATATACGATATCACAAGATTATATTACACAATGGTTAAAGTAGAGAATACCGCAATACTTGACATATCGTACTTACCGTCGTGACGGTAGAGCACATGCCGGCCCTACTGTCATTGTACACCAATCCATGTTGCATCACCTACTCTCATTACTTACTCAAGATTTCCTGCAATCCACTGCTATTGTAATCAAAACCTTCTCATTTCCAGTCACCCAAGCATCAGCATATTGCCCTCCTAACAGATCCATATCCAATGACTAGTTCAGTTCTTTCCTTAACTCCTTAGGACATCACTTCATCCTGGGTGCAGACTTAAACGCCAAGCATCAAGAATGGGGTTCAAGAACCACAAATTCTCGTGGTAGATCCTTGCTGTCTGCACTCGATTCCCAAAATTTCAACCTTTTTCCTTCCAACTCACCTACCTACAGGCCAACTGATCCTAACCGCAATCCTGATATCCTCGTTTTTTTATCCACAGTTTTTTTATCCACAGGTTTCCTCAATTATTCCCTTACCCGACTAGACGAACTTTCCTCAGATCATAGTCCATTAGTACTCCAATTATATCTAGCTCCTATTCTTAAAACTTCTCCACTGTCCTTCATCAGAGGCCCAGTTAACTGGAAACTATTTTATCAAATCATTTCCAAAAAAATTATTGACATCAGATTAACCTTGAAAACCCCAGAAGACCTTGACAATGCCGTACATTCCTTCACCACCACTATTCAACAAGCAGTATGGACAGCCTCCTCTCCAAATAAGTCCTCTAGAATCCCTAAGAAAAATAGTTTACCCCAACACCTCATAGACCTAATCCACACCAAACACTGCGCCAGATCATTATGGCAACGCATTATGGCAAACACCCCATCGATCGCCGCTCCTACAATTATTATTGTAAAATATTAAAGCAAAAATTATCATCCTTCAGATCCCAATCCTTTGATACCTACCTTACTTCTCTCTCTGTTCACGACAATTCCCTCTGGAAAATCACCAAAAAATTACTAAAATCCCATTGCATTTCCCACCCCCTTCGTCGATGCGATGACTCCTGGGCAGCGTCTGATGAAGATAAAGCTGAGGAATTCGCCATACACCTCTCCAATACATTCAGTCTTCATCCATAATCCCATCCAACCCATACCGTAAAAGTAGAACAATTTCTCTCTTCACCGATTCCATTCTCCTTACTACCTAAAACAATTAACTCATCTGAGGTCAAACATCACTTACAAAAACTTCCTCTCCGTAAATCTCCTGGATACGACCTCCTAACCCCACAGATCCTTTGACAACTTCCACCATTGTCCTTTTCCTGAAACCAGGCAAACCTATCAACAATACATTATCCTATAGACCAATTAGCCTACTCCCAATCCTATCAAAAATGTTTGAAAAGATCCTACTGAAAAGAATCCTACCCATAATAGAATCCCATAAAATTCCTACCCATCTATTCGGATTTTGTTCCCAATATTCCACTGTCCAACAAGGACTCCGAGTTGTTGACCATATATCCTCAGCCGTAGAAAAAAAGCAATACTGTTCGGGTGCATTTCTGGACATAGCACAGGCTTTTGACCGGGTATGGCATGCTAGGCTGCTCTTCAAGCTTAAATTCCATCTACCACAGTCCTTATATCTAATACTCCGATCCTACCTCTCTGGCCGCTCCTTTCAATTTCACTGTGGTACTGAATTCTCCGACTGTCATTTAATGGAGGCGGGAGTTCCGCAGTTCAGCGTCTTGGGTCCAATCCTTTACATCCTTTTCACCGCAGATATTCCTGCTATCCACCATCCAGCTTCCTTTCTCAGCTTCCTTTACAGTCAGGTACTTTGGTTTTCTCTTAGACAGACGACTAACGTGGAACCCTCATACTAGACTTAAAAGACAGGAACTAAACCGACGATACGGCCAACTATACCAACTACTAAACAGAAAATCTAAACTTTCTATTGAAAACAAGCTACTGATCTACAAGACAATACTGAAACCTATTTGGACTTACGGACTAGAACTGAGGGGAACAGCGAAATTTTCTAGCATCAAGCGCATCCAATCCTTCCTGTCAATTGTCCTTCGACCAATAGTCGATGCTCCTTTCTATGTAACCAACAAAACCCTACATCATGACCTCATCACGAAGAACGAGGTGTTGAACCTAACGATCGAGTTCTCTTAATTGACGCTCTACAAGACACGACCTGGTTGTAATATTTCATATCTCACAATACAAGTAAGAAAAAGAGAGAAAAAAATAAAATAAAAGGATACCCCTGCGTGATTTTGGCTTTGTTTCTCGAAGATCGAGCACTGCCACCAGCCGATCTTGATGCTGGGAGCTAAAACATCTGGAAGACACAAGCAGATATATCGATATAATGATACAATCTCTAGACAGGTTCATACCTGTACACACTAAATATGAACTGTTCCGATTTAGTCTTCACCAGTTAGAAGTGATTAATCACAAAAATTCTTCTGAAAAATAATTCTGGGAGTTTAGATGAAATGTTACCAACCCAGCACTTGCGTAGAACACTATTTTAAAAGTACATTGTTGAGCGGACGCTTCCTGATGGATTGCTCCGAGATACATATCCCATTCATCTTAATCTCCTTGCCTACATATCATGAGATATTGAGTGACCAGTTCCGATTTACGAGAAAAGTATTGAGAGGAATTTGGTGAAAGAAAAGTTACAGCCAAAGGGTTTTGTTACGATATATGCGAATCATCCCACGTACATCAAGTAATTTTTTGTAGAAGCTGAGTTTAGAAACGAATCAGCGACAGAATATGGCATAAAGCAGTATTATGAAAATTCAAAAATAAATCAGTATATACTAACAGAAAATCAGAAAATTTATGTTTGGGAAGGAGGGCTTCTTCATCCTTTTTTTTTTTTTTATATAAAAAGGTAATTACTCGATAAGAAAATAAAAATTAACTATATAACATTATGTTTCAATGGCTCTTGAAGGCAATATAAAAAAAAAGGTTAATTATAGGACCAATAATGCTTTTAGGGATAATTGTATTGAATATTTTTCTTGGCACGTGCGTACAGTTAGTAGCTGTATATGTGTTATAATTTAAAAAGATGACATATTGTGATTGTTTAAGTATAGTTCAGAACATTGACAAATATGGAGGTCGAATATTCTCCGAGTATATCGAAAAAGTAGTAAAACCATAGTCTACATCTCATTGACCCTATTGCAATTTTTAAAAACACATTTATTTATAATTTTATTTGCCAACCTTTTTTTACGTTTATCTAGTCTATATAATGAGAACGATTCTTTTTTAAACAAACCATAGGTTTTGATGATATGAGTGTTTTACGAATTTAATATACTCAAATATGGATCAATGAAAAAAATGATATTTTTCTATTTAAGGAGGAGCTTCAGGGCGAAATTCTTCCTCTCTCTCTTATGTAGATCCACAATTTATTTATTCATAATCACCTATACTGGTCTTACACCTTGGTCATTTTTGTCCATTCTATGAACAGAAATGAAAGGAAAACAAGTCTTAGCATATGATATTGGTTATACCTATTTGTCCTGTTGTTATCTTAAATATTATCTCTTATATTGATGTGTATGATGTATGAATTAGCAACTCCATATACAAATAGCAACGCGGCTGAAATATACTTGTGATTTTCTCTGCATATACTTACTTTTAATTGTTTTAAGATCGCAAGAAGATCCATACCACAGTCTCCATCTATGAGTATAAATAGAGGATCATTTCCTCCATGATAAGATTTTAATGGTGTTATTGTAACTCCTGGACATTCTTCCCAGTTAGGTGGCTGGTGGAGTTTATCAATGTCCATCCCTTTCTGCTTTAGCTCCTTCTTTGAGGGGAATATAGCTAAATGTGACAATGTAATACCACCTTGAAACTTTGCATCCATTTCCTCTCCTAGTTCTGAAAGATATTTTAGCATATCAAGTTGGCAAGATGTTGCAGCTGATTGGACAGGAGTAAGGCAGTTGTCGTCGTATGTATATTTTCTGCGTTCTTTTACCAATTCGCTAAGAAGCGTAATATTTCTTGATAATAGGGCACTCAGGAGGTCAGTAGAACAATTCAATTGTTTATTGCTCATTGGCTGATTGGAAATCTTCAATTTATATTGAAGAAGATCAAATATAGAAGAATTTAAAGTTAAATCTCTTGGTTTGTTTCCAGCAGCGTCTAAAGCTTCAGTATCTGCACCATGGTTTATCAAAAGCTTAACAGCAGCGTTCAGTCCGAGTTCAGTGCAATTGTGAAGAGGAGTACGAAGAAAATTATTCCTAGTTTCAGTGCTAACACCTAATTGGCTCAACAGGTATTTAGCAACAGAAATCTTGTTTGTACTGACAGCCAAATGTAACAAAGTATTACCATAGTTATCTCTGAAATAAACATATTCTAGTAAGCAAAAAAAATGTTCTATAAGAAACAAGTTATATGTGCTCTACGTCTTTACATATCTTACCTTAGAATATTAAGATCATGAATTCTATTATTTCCTTCCAGTAAAACTTTAAATGTGCCTATATTCCCGCACTGAGCTGCAACTGCGACTGCTGTACGACCTTCTTGATTTTTTATGGACTTTAGATTTCCATTTTTTAGAAGAAGAATTACAGCTTTGGTATTATTAGAGCATGCTGCATAATGAAGAGGAGTATTTCCAATATTGTCTTCATTATTTGAATCGGCTCCTATAGTTAAACAAAAAAAAAAGTATAATGATTTATTTCTTGTGAAGTATGTAATTATATCTGGCTAAATCATCTGGAGTGACATCTTTTTTTTTATTTTTGAAGATGGTTGACATTTATAAGTTACGAGTGCAAAAAAAAAATATATATATAATAAAAATCATATATATATATATATATATATATATATATATATATATATATATATATATATATATATATATATATATAAGTTATGGTTAGAGGTAAGACAATATAACAGTTAATCCTAAGTTAATCCTATCTATGAAGTGTAAACAAAGTGTAATACTATATATATGGCATTACTAAGGCAATAAAGTCAGTATTCTTTGAGTAACCACGTGCTTCATTTCGGATCCTTTTTCCCTTTTTTTTATTATTTCTTGTTCGAACTGACGTAAGTGGTGCCGAAACCCGGGACCTTTAGATTCAGTCGGGGAAGTAGTTTTTTTTTTCTCTTTCTTTTCGTTGTTGTTATTAACGTCACAAGAAATAAAAAAGAGGAAGGATGCCGAACGGAATAGGGCAACCACCAGCATCCACCGCACAACAGGTAGCACAGCAGGTAGCACAGGCGACACCGCCGACGGCACCACCAGCAGCACCGTTGGCTCCACCGCCGGCGTTCCCTCCGCTGTCAGAGGCGTTAGCGAGGGATTTTCCTCCACTACCTACGGAAACGTTGGCATCAGCACATGCAACTACGTTAGAGTGGTTGAAGGTGAGAACGGCGACGTCGCAGGATCTTAGGAGAGCGATATCCGACTTGGAAAGATTCGATGGAGGAGTAGGTGAGTTGAATCACTTCCTAAAAGGTGGCGATCGGGTGATATCGCGTATATTGGCTAAGGCGGAGGAAAACCTGATAGACCCGATGGACGCCAATGCATTAAGGGCAGCCCTGGTATGCCGGATTAAGAGGAGCGTGCTGAATATGATTCAGGCTGATGAGGACACTCCATGGAATGTTGTGAAGGATCGGCTGAAGAAGGCGTTTGGAGGAGGTCGATGGGCGCCCGAGGAGGACATCTTGCAGATGTTCCGGGAAAGGAAACAGCCTCATCAGACCAACGGGCAATATGCTGCAAATCTGCTGGCACGATTTAACCACGTAACAGGGAAGACGAGGGAAGTGGCTGATGCGGTGGAAACGGGAGCCAGGATGGCATTTTTGTCAACCATCCTTAAAGTTCAGTTAGGGAGAGATACTGGAAAGAAGGATGGACTACCGAGGGACAAGAGCTTTGTGGAGTGTGCTCAAGAGATGATAGATGCAAGTGCTCGGGATGAAGAAGCAGCCCGTGGGGATGAAGAGAACGAGTATGGATGGAACAGGGTTTCGTATAGGAGGGCGGAAACCGGGAGGTTCAAAGCAAGACAGGAGGGGTGGAAGAAAAGAGGAGGAGAGGTTAGTACAAGAGAAAGACCGGCAATGAGAGAGAGAAAGCCAGGCAAAGAAAGGAAGAAATGGACAAAGGAAGACAGGAGATGTCACGGGTGCGGAAAGATAGGCCACCTAGTGGCGAATTGCCCGCGAACCAGGTGTTTCGAATGCGGAACCGAGGGACACATCGCCAGACAATGCCCGTATATGAGTAGACGGGGAGACGTGGGCCGGGATGAACCAATGGAAGTGAACGCCCAGAGATTGTGGAGAAAGAGAGGAGCAGTATCGGAGTCAGATGAGTCATCAGGGACATCGGGAACCGAGGAAGAGGAGACGGAGATAAGAAGAGCTCGAGGAGGAAGAAGTAGTAGGAGAAGTGGAGAAGGAGGAGCCGTTGCGGACAGGAGAGGAAGATCAGACGAATGAGGAGAGGAGCAGAGGAGAGGCAGCCACGCGGTAGTCAATAATATTGGAGGTGAGTGCGTTGGTTTGCCAATTATAAGTGTTGTGGGGAGGGGGAAGTGTTTGGTAGATACGGGGAGCTCTAGTACAATATTATGTAAAAAGATGCTGGAGGAATTGTGTGAAGGAGAGAGGATACCAGAAATAAAAAATTGTAAGTGTAAGTTGATTACTTTGGGTGGTCCTTGTAGAGTCGAGGGGGAGGTAGAATTAGATCTGGATCGATGGGTGGCCGGAATCGGGAAATTGAGGGTTCATGTGGTGGAGAATATGCCGAGAGAGTACCGAGGCATAATAGGGTGTGACTTATTAAGTAAGGTAAGGCCGAGGATAGATTACAGGAGTACAGGTTGGGTTGTTCGAATGGGAGGGAAGAAGTATCGGTGTAAGCGATTGAGGGTGGACGGGACAAGGAATGTCGGGGCAATAGAACAAGCGGAACATTGGGTACAGAGGATAAAGAGGGAGTACGCGGATATTTTTTTTAAAGACGGGGAAGTGTTGACTGCGACAGGGAAAACGGTCCATGAAATTCCTTTAAAACAGGAGAAAGTGACATACGTTAAGGAACGACGTTATCCGCAAGCGCTACGGAGACACATCAAGGATGAGATAGAGAGCTTGAAGAAGCAAGGCATAATCGTGGATAGCACGTCACCGTACAACAGTCCCCTATGGGCAGTGAAGAAGAAGACCACGACAGGGGAGGAGAAGTATAGGGTAGTGGTAGACTTCAGGAAGCTCAACGACAATACCTTGGATGAGAAATACCCGCTCCCACGATTTGAGGACATCATTGACAGACTGAGCGGAGCCACAATCTTCAGCACTCTCGATCTAAAGGCAGGTTATCACCAGATACGTATGCATCCCAGGGATCAACATAAGACAGCTTTTTCATTCGAAAGGGGGCATTATGAGTTTACTCGCATGCCGTTCGGGTTGAAAAACGCTCCTATAACCTTCCAGAGGTTTATGGACGAATTTTTGAGGGGACTGGATGAAGCATTCTGCCAGGTATATATGGATGATCTCCTGGTCTTCAGTAAAAATGAAACGGAACACATTGATCATTTGCGCCGCGTATTTGACAGAGTGAAGCAGTTGGGGTTAAAATTGTCTGCTGAAAAGTCGATTCTGGGGCAGGATGAGATCAATTTTCTGGGACATTCGATTTCGAGGGAAGGGATCAAGCCTGATAAGCAGAAGGTAGAGGCGATACAAAAGATGGCGATGCCCAGAGATGTCAAGGGGATCCGGAGATTATTGGGGACGTTGAATTATTATCGTCGGTTTGTCCCGGAGATGGCGGAATATCTAGCACCTCTTAATAATCTCCTAAAGAAAGGCCGGAAGATCGCAATAACACCAGCGATAGAGAACAACGTGCGGAAGTGCATGGCAAGGTTGCAAGAAAAGCCGGTACTTGCTTTTCCCGATTTTAACAAGGGTTTTATTATCACCACTGACGCAAGTGAGTATGCGTTGGGAGCAGTACTTGCGCAGGAAGGAACGGACGGGGAACAGCCAATAGCGTATGCGAGTCGGCGACTCACAGAAGCGGAAACAAGGTATAGCGCCCTGGAAAGGGAACTCTTGGGAATTGTATGGGCGGTCGGCCATTTTAGACCGTATATTTTTGGTCGGAGGTTTAAAGTGCATACCGATCACAAACCGTTGCAGTGGGTGGGCAACCTGAAGGAATCATCGGCAAGGGTCACGCGATGGAAGCAGTTCCTAAGTCAATATAACATGGAGGTCAGGTATAAGCCAGGCAAGGAGAATATAGTAGCGGACTGGCTGTCCAGAGCCGTAATGATAAATGCCATTGAGGAGGAAGAAGGGGAGTCGTCGCGGGACGTGCGGCAGTTTTTGAGAGCATGGACACCGGAAGGTGAAGGGGAACCCGGGGATGCGAGAACAGAGGAATCGAGAGGAGAAGAGAGCTCGGTGGATGAAAGGCCTACCGACATGGAGGAATGTGAGGAGATCATTAACAATAAGCGACGACAAGTAATTTGGAAGACCAGAACGTCGGGGCTTATGAAGATCGACTTCACTAAATATGGGAAGAAGAAAATTAATACCATTTGGTCCCAACCAGGGGTGAAAGAGGAACAGATTTGCAAGGCTTTGCACGACGCTTCGGAGTCGGGGAAAATTCACCATCTGTATGTAGGCAATGCAACCATTTGGTAAAAGATCAAGAAACTCTGGAGGGCAGAGAAAATAGGTGTCGACAGGTCATTTATTAAATGTAAATACTTGGTTGAAACGTTAATGGACAGGGAGCAGCAAAGGGAGGTGACACTGGCACATCACCAGGGCAAGACGAACCATCGGGGGGTACAGGAAACATTCCACGCACTACGCAGGAGATATTATTGGGATGGTATGCGGAAAACGATCTCGGAAGTCATTGGAATGTGCGAAGTGTGCGCGCGCACTAAGTATGACAGACGACCACCTCAAGGAGTACAAGAAGAAACCCCTACAGGAGATACGCCGTTGAAAGATGTGCAAATCGACACATTCACGTGGAGAGGCTTTAAATGGGTTACCATGATAGACCTCTTTAGCAAAATGGCAATGGCACATCGGGTACAGGATAGGTCGGCGGAGGCTGTCGTGGGAGCTCTCCAAACGTGGGTCCAGTTCTATGGAGTGCCAGATCGCATAACGTCGGACGGAGGCAGGGAGTTCGACAGCAGTACCATCCGAGAAGAAGCGAAGCGCTTGGATATAGTTTGGCACTTCAATACGCCGGGACATCCAAAGGGCAGGGGAGGTATCGAGAGGTTGCATAGCACCCTAAGTGATCACCTACGTATATATCAGGGGAGCAGGGATTAGAAGCGGACGTAGCAATGCAGAGGGCGGTAGCGGCCTACAACCATTCAATCCACTCCGTTACAGGGTTTTCCCCAGTCGAGGTACTGTTCGGAATAAATATACGGCGTCGAGATTGGAAGGAAACAGTCACGAGCGAGGACCACGCTCAACAGATAACGTGTAACAGAGCGCAAATAAGGAAAGTGTGGGATAAAACGAAAGGGAGAATAGAGAAAGAGAAGCGGAAAAGGGTGGAAAAGGTTAATTTGAACCTCAGAGATAGAATGGGTGCATTAAAAATAGGGACGGTCGTCTATCGTAGGGTCGGATCCAATAGGGGAAGGAATTGGCGCGCTACGAAGGACCATTCAAGGTAATCATACTTAGAGAGCACAACGTTTGTACGATCCAAAGTCTGAAGGATCCCAGAAAAAGGAGGACCGTTCACATAGAACAGTTAAAACTCCCGATAGAGACGGAGTCACTACAGTAGTGGGATATCCTCTTTTCTATCTCCTACAAGCTAGGGACCGACGCTAAAAAGTTAATTTGATTTTGTTGTTCACTTTTGGTTGTAAGATAACAGTGTCTTTTAATTTTATTTTTATTGTTTTTTTTATTCTATTATTACTCTGGCTGTTCTAGGAACTCCAACGGCGATTATATCTTTTCTTTTTGTTTGTTTGTAGTTGTTGTATTTTGGTTATGTATTACGTCAGTTACCCTGCATTAGTTTATGAGGAATGTTCATAAACTGGCGGGGGGAGTTATGGTTAGAGGTAAGACAATATAACAGTTAATCCTAAGTTAATCCTATCTATGAAGTGTAAACAAAGTGTAATACTATATATATGGCATTACTAAGGCAATAAAGTCAGTCTTATTTGAGTAACCACGTGCTTCATTTCGGATCCTTTTTTCCCTTTTTTTTTTATTGTTTCTTATTCGAACTGACGTAAGTTATATATATATATATATATATATATAATAATCAGTAATTGAAATATAATTTCAATTTTAAATTGTAAGAATATCGTTTTAGCAGTCATATACATATGGCTATCTGAACTCTTAGGATGATTTGATTATAAACCAATCCTGTTAAAGTCCAACCTGAATTTTTCATTTCAAATCATAATCCTCTCCTTCTAACTTAATAATAATAATTCTAATAAATAATTTTAGCTTCAAAGTTTTCTTTTCCGTTGATTCTTAACCACTAAAATCGTCTATATTAATTATAAAGAAAGTTGTATTAACTAGCACTAACTTTTATTTAAAACACTAAATCTACCGCCATCACCAACAAATAATCTTCAAAACTCTGAATTATTAGATTTCCTACTGGGTAAAAAAAATCCACTCATTGCTTTTATATGAAAGCATATCTGATGGGAAGTGTATTGATAAGTATTTCATCAAAAAATAAATTCCGATTTATAAAATATTATAAAAAAACAGTGCTTAAATTAGTACTGTACCTAAACAAAAGTTTGTAAATAAAAAATAGTATCATTCAAGATGCTCCACAGTGTTTACTTTAATATATTTTATTTTATTTAATTCATATATTACCAAGTGACATAACTTATCTTGAAGACCGTACACACTTGCAGAATGAATGCTTTCCCGAATTATCACGTCAAATCGTCTCGCGCAAACAGCGAATTCTTTTGTGAATGGTGTCCCTCTAATTGAATTTCGATTTTTTAAAATTAAACGGTTAATAGCTAGGCAGAACAGACTAAAACAGTGATGTGACGTATATATAAATACCGGAACATTGTTATATTTAATGATATTGTTAATACTATTATTGTAGTACACACGTCCAAAACACTTACAACAAAGTAGCCAAAACATTAAACATTATAAAATCAATTGGGGAGCCCACCCACATAATCTACTTACCATTTACAAAACTATGACCACACCAATAATAGTATACTATGCACTCATTGTATACTATGCATCCATAATATACAATGAGTCTAGCTCACCATTAATAAAAAAGCTAGATACAACACGAAACAATATTCTTAGGTTATGTTTAGGATCATTCCGTACAAGCCCTACAAATGTACTGCAAGCAGAAGCCGGCGCCTCTTCAAATGAGAAGAAATTGGTTGATAAAAAAATTCCTCAAATAGTTCCCACCCGCTAAATCAAGCTGTTCGAAACGGCATCTTACACATCCCAAAAGTAGGAATCATAGTCCAAGAAACAAAACATCTATTTTGCCATCAACCCCGGACCGCTTTACCTATGTACTCCCATTCCAAAATCACAAACTATCATAAAAACCAATCCCAAGCTATTCCAATCAGATTTGACCAAAATATTGTATTTTATTGTATTATGTTTTAGAACTGATGGTGGATAGTGATCCACCAGCAGTTCTAAAACAGAAAACACTGAAAATATTGTCTGAAAAATACAAAAATTATCAAAAAATGTATACAGACGCATCTAAAGATAAAAACACAAGTTTTAGTCGGGATATATGATGACCAACATAACCAGGAAACATTCATAAACCTCCCTTCAATATTTAGCATATACAGTGCCACAGGCGGATCTACGCGGAGCGCTTTCGGGCTGAAGCCCCCCTCCCACAAAATGTTAACATATTACAATGTTTTACAGAAAAAAATATGAAAAACTATCTCTTAAAGTATTTTTGTTCATGTAATTACATTTAATAGAACTTCAAGAACCACTTAAACACCATTTCATGTACGTTTCATTCTTTTTTTTTTCTAATTAATTATTGTTATATGTATATGAAAAAAATCTTTCGGATTTTAAATCCAAAATTAAATCCTGGATGCGCTAGTGTACAGTGCTGAATTATACGGTGTCGATGGAGCTTTCAAAATAGCCAACAGAAAATATAAGAATACAAAAGTCGTAATTCTAACTGATTCCGCTTTCGTATGCAATTCACTCAAAAACATACATCGACAACATATTTCAACGTACCTAATAAATAATATAATAGAAGAAGTTTATCGTTCAACAAATAAAAAATTTAAGATTCAATGGGTTTCAGGTCATGTGGATTAGTATGAGAATAAACGGGCTGATATGATAGCAAAACGGGGTTCTGTAAGGGCGGAAAATGCGAAACTTCCTTTACAGGAAATTTGTAGATGGGTGAAAAACACTTTATTAGTGAATGGCAGGATAGGTATGCCTGGGAGTCAAGTTCGAAAGGTAAAGATCATTTCACTATCCAACCTAACGTCTCTCTACAGCCATGGTGCTCTAACTCTTGTGTTAACTTAAACGGAAAAGAAATAGTCTTAATTGCAAGATTAAGAATTCTCCATGGTCGAACAAACCGCGGCTTAACATTAGTTAAAGTTGATAAATGTTCGACATGTAACTCCACCGAGGACCCATTGCACATTATTTTAAAATGCAACAGATATGATAAATACCAGAAGAAATACTCCCTCATCCAAAACAATACCACTTTCCTCCAAGGGCTAGCTGATCTAGGTACAGATACCATTAAGTCATTGTGCAAATTTTTCGAAGAATCCAAAATGGATTTTTAAAAATAAATAAATAAAAATAATAATGTACATCTATATCTCCATTATATTTTAATAAAACAATAGGGGCAGTATAGGACTTCTGTGGAAATCTTGGGCCGACGAAAGAAAAAATAATGTCGGATTTGAGATTGCGCCCCGCGTATCGACTTTTTGTAACTTATTGGATTTAATCGATATCAGAGTTGACTAATAGGTTTTGGGGGCGTTTTTTATGAAAATATACTGTCGGATTTGAGATAGCGTCCCCGGGATTTTGTAATTTTTACTCATTGTACTTTTTGCCCATCACTAATCTTAAATCCGACAGTATTTTCTTAAAAAGCGTCCAAAAACCTAAAAGTCAACCCTGATATCGATTAAATCTAAAAAGTCGAAACGCGAGGGCGCAATCCCAAATCCGACAGTATTTTCATAAAAAGCGACCCCCAAAAGATAATAGTAGACGTTGATATCGATTAGATCCGAAACTTACAAAAAATCGTAGCAGGTAGGAGCACAATCTCAAATCCGACAATATTTTCATAAAAAGCGCCTCCCAAAACATATTAGTCGATCCTGATATCGATTAAATCTGAAAACTTACAAAACGTCGTTACGGAGGGACGCAATCTCAAATTCGAACAAATATGTTTTTGTGTAAATTAAACAGAACGAAAATACCTTATAATCATAATTTACTATTTATAATTTTGTGTAAGAAAATAAAAAATAAAATTAACGGAACAGATGGTAATATCGATAAATAATATTTATAAATTTCTTATAAATTGTTATCAATCGATAACGGCATAAACATACTGCCCACCAAAATTTATATTTGTAAAGTTTCAAAATTAAGGTTGTTACCCACGTAGGAGCAAAGGAGGTAATTTGGAAACTGTTCTTATGTATTCCCCAGTTGAGGTCCTGATTTTCGCCACCCGGGTTATCCCATTGTCTCCAAGAAACACATTGGTGACACGTCCTTTAAATCATCTCAATAACGGCATTATTAGATCCTCAGATGGTGGTGTATTCCACAACCTTCCGCCCACTCTAAGGACACCCACCGAATCTGCAAATGGGAACAAAGTCTATAGGATTAATCTATTAAATTTTTCGGTAGGAATTCCTTTAGGATAATGGTAATTTTGAATGATTTTTATTAAAACAATAGACTTCCTTTGATTTAAACGTAATTTACTATTTATAATTTTGTGTAAGAAAATAAAAAATTAAATTAACGGTCTGAACAGTTTGTAATATCGATAAATAAGATTTATAAATTTCGTATCGATTGTTATCGATCGGTAACGGCTTATTAAACAGTAGATAACAATGGACTATACTATGAGTATTGGTTGTATTTTATATCAAAGAAATAATAATACAAATATTTGGTTGAAAAACGGTCATTCTTTTTATACACCCCATTATTATGTGTTAAATTGATACACTAGCTTAATGTTTTAATTAATACCTGTAATTATTTTATTAAATAAAGTTTGTTTGAACAATATGATTTTATTCTTATTTATTGTTATATATATATATATATATTTAGTCTGAAAGAGTTTAACTAGAAGTTAAATATTAGGTTCAGTACCTTAATCGATTGGTTATAATTGATACTAGAATAGGTTTTCTTTTTAATATATTGAAGAGCTCTAGTTTTAAAATTATCCTGTTGAAGTTCCTTTCATTGGTGCATCTATTTATATTACTTTTGTTAAATACCTGGTGCCATTTTTTCCATTATTAGTTAATAGTTTGAAATAAATTAAGCAGGAACAGAAAACTATTCCTATGAACCACTAGGGGATTCAGGATTTAATTTTTTTTTTGGTGGGGACTTCAGCCCGAAAGCTTTTTTAGTAATAATAATAATACGTTATTTATTCTGGGACGAGTCCCTTTAAAAATACAGAAATTTGGGCTAAGGAGCTTCAGAGATACATAAACGAAAATACAGAGTAATTGAATAGTCATAATAAAAAAAATAGAACTTAATTTCTAACTTAAATAAGTGATTAATAAAAAAATTAAAATAAACATGACGTAAAAATAATGAAGAACGGTCTAATAATTTATATACATATTTATAGTAGTATCTATTTACAATTTTATGGGGACTGGTTGGATAAGATATTATTGAACAGGTGAGATTTTATGGTAGGACAATACCCTTCCTACTATTGACGGATGTGGGAAGGGATGGAGTTCCATGAGGATCGTATAATGAACGATCTGTCGAAAGCAGCGATTCGGTGGGCCCTTGTATAAATCAGAAAACCCGGAACGAGTATTGCGGAAACGGACAGAGGATTTGAATTGAAGGAGGTCGGAGATGTATTGAGGCGGTGGGATTGGAGGACTTGAAAAAGGAAGGATGCCAGGAAATACTTATGACGGTAGGAAGGATAAAGCCACTTCAACTCAGCATAAAAACGGGAAACAGAGGCGTCCCTAGGGATCCCGAAGATGAATCGTACAAAGAAATTTAACAAACGTTTTAGTTTCGCCTCGAGATTCCCAGAGACGCTGCCATATACCGCACAGTAATAGTCAAAGTGGAGAAAAATAAGAAAGTGACTAAGAGCCCAGAGGTTTCATGGGAAAATAGGTGACGGAAGTAATTTAGACGTTTTAAGGAGGAAATGATACGGCGGAAGATATTGGATACATTGGTTTTCCAAGAAAGCATTTGATCAAAGGTTATTCCAAGGTTTTTGATAGAGGGATACAATTTGATGGAATTATCGTGTTGGAACAGAGTTGAAATATTAGGATAGAATGGATAAAATAGGAGGGAATAATAGAATTTCCTCAAGGGATGCCACAAAATGTTTAGGCAACTTTCCAATTTTTAATTAAGGCAAGGCAAATAACTCTCATGTGTTCTTAATAGGCAACATTCAAATTTTATTGGGCAACATTCTACTTTTATTGGTAGATTATACCGATTATGCAAAAATAGCGTACCATACTTAAGTTGGCTCAAAACATCTCTATTTTACCTTGAGGGCCCTCAAGTGTAGGTGTTGTCTCGGTGGCTACTAGTGCTGGGATGGGGCGAGAAAACCTGTGGCTCGTGCGGGTTAAGTGTTATCTCAGATCTTCTGATCTGCTCCCACCACTTGCTGTAACGAGGGAAATTTAAACCATTTTCACACAAACATATTCCCCACCGTGAAACATCTCATTTCACAAATCAAAAAAGAAAAAAACAAACTCAGAGATTGGTGATTACCAGGCACAAACGAGAGGAAAATTAAAGAAAGAGAGAAATTATTCAAAATAGAGTTTTGGAATATTAGAAATAAAGAGAACCAGATCAGAGGTAGGCTAATAAATTACAATTAATTTAAAATAAAATGACTCCTCGTTAGATTTAAGCAAAAAAAAAAATATTCACATCAATAAAAGGTTTCTCCAGAAGGGAGAGGCACTAACATGTGCACTGGTTGCACCAATGTGGCTATAGCAGTCCTCAATTTTACCACCCTAACTACACTGTCAGACCCTGGAAGTGTCTCTATTATCCTGGAAAGCTGCCACTCCTGCAGTGGACATCTTTTTCATGTAGAATTACAAGGGTTCCCTCCTTTAAATTTTCTCTGTTAGTATACCACTTGTTGCGAGGCACCACATTATGGAGGTATTCATTATATTATCTCTTCCAAAAATTACGAAGAGTCTTGGATATCATCGCCCATCGGCTTGTAAAAGGAAACACAGCTGCGTCTTCTTGTTCTGGTCTGGCTAGGAGGGGCAGGCCTATAAGAAAGTTTCCTGGGTAAGGTAATCCAGGTTATCCGATGGCTGATTGCTAATGTTGCAGATAGGTCGGGAATTGATAACGGCTTCAACTCGTACCAGAACAGTATAAAATTCCTCATATGTCAACGCATGATGTAGAACGGCAAGAAGGTGTCTCTTAGCAGATTTAATAGCTGCCTCCCAAATACCACCGAAATGAGGAGATGCTGGAGGAGTAAAGGTCCACTTTATACCCGTCCGACCCAAATAATCAGACGGGTATAAATATTGGGTTCGCTCTGGTTCTTAATACATTGATAAAGCTCCTTCAACTTCTTGGACGGTTCAACAAAATTTTTCGGCAGTCACTATAAATATGTGAAGGCAAACCACGTCTGGCAATAAATCTATCTAATGTGGAAATGAATGAAGGAGTGGATAGGTCCGTCACAAGTTCTAGGTGAATGGCCTTGGTAGACATGCACACAAAGTGAGCTAAACAACATTTCGATTTAGGAGCATTGCACTTACTGGAAATCTTCATAATGAATGGGCCGTCATAGTCTATTCCAACTCGCTGAAAAGAACGACCCTCAAACACCCTGAAAGACGTTAAGTCACTAATTTTTGTAGCCTGTGGTTTCGCATTATTTTTGTGGCACATAAAACATTTATAAATCCGGCTTCTAATGAGTCTTCTTGGAGAAGGGATCCAAAATTGGCGCGAATGAGCGACTGGATCAACAGGGGCCCACCATTCAAGAAATATCTATGGTAATGGTCAAACAAAAGGACAGCTAAATGAGAATCTTTAGGTATCAGCAGCGGATGCTTACTTTTTTCTTCGATTGTGGAATACTTCAATCTACCTCCACCAAAAGAAAGAGGTTGAAGAGAAGTATTTTAAAATATAAAGAAAATTTGAGAATAAAACATTTATTTAAACAAATGAAACCGATTCCTGTAGAACCGCAATGTTACCTCAGGTGGGAAAGTGAAAAAAAGGAATCACTTCTAATTATTGGTTGATCATTCGGTATGACAGGCAAATAGGAAACGGACAATGGATATAGAAACGGAATTTTAAATTAATAAAAGAAATCAGTGAAAAGAACGTTTTTAGAATCATAAAGATAAATATAGTTATACGAACACATTAATAATAATTTTGATATAATAAATAAATAAGAAATATAAAACTAAGAAAATAAACCTTTATAAGATAAATCATTAGATCTTCATAAGAGATAAATTTTAAAATCATGAATAGAGTATTGAATGTTTAGATAAATATTAGCCTAGTACCGCAATAAAAAGTCAGCTTATTTTCAAATAAGAGCACCCCTGAAAAAAAAAAAAAACATCTTTGGAGGATTGGATAAATGTTTTAATTTTTATTATCCTTAGTGAATTTATTTGAAGTTAGTAGAGAATAGTGACCCTGACTTTAGGAGTACACAGAGTTCCTCCTTACATCCCAGAAGTGGGATAGATAATATAAGTTGTTTATATATAATAAGGTAGGAAATCTTAATTTTGAAAAGACAAAGAGATCTTCTGTGATACTCATGGTGGCTGAGTATGTTTTTGAAATGATCCAAGGTGTATATAAAAATCATCAAAATTAATGGGGCTCAATTGTTTTTACAGTGGGACTTTATTGCGCGTATTACATCCACATTAACAAAGCTTTTGTAGCATTATTCATTGGGCAAAAAGGAAAATCAATATGTTGTTGTTTATAGAAAAGGAATAATCAACATCAAAACTACTATATTCTTTTAATTTATACTTAAATATGTTTTTTACTGTTATTACTAAAAATTGGAAAAGATTTGCCATCAAATATTATCTAAAAATAAAATATTAAACTTGGGAATAGTAGTCATGTTAGGCATTATAATACATACACGGTGGGCCAGACCCCCTTACCGTGCATCCCCCCCCCCACATCCCTATAAATTGCATATCGTTGTGTTCCTTGTGACAATTTATTAAAAAAAAGCCAATGACCCACAAAAAAAAGTGAACGAACTGCCCCAAAATGGCGTCCAAACATGGCGGATTGACGACTTTGACTTTAGTTAGTTTTTTTGTTACTGAGAATCAGCATTTGGCTTAATTTCATCATAGTTGGTCTTTTATTAAAGCTAGATAGTTAGAGAATAATAAAACATGAAAAAATATGAAAAACTAATTCGCTTAGGCATTAAAAAAAATCGGTAAAGTCAATTTTTTTTTTAAAAAAATTTTCAAGTTGAAAACCAGGCGTCGTTTGTAATTAAACGGTCAACAATAATGCAAAACGTGCTGAAA